GAAACTAGAAGAAATTTAGATTAATCAAAGGCAGGAGCTGGAAGAGGGGACACATTATGGAGATTGATGACTTGGGTTAGATAATCACAGAGAGCTATGCATTTGTTCAAGACAGTAATTTTTAAATCTGGCCCTTAAACCCTAAGGTCCTATGGGGATGTTTAGGTCTGCACTGATTTCATACAATTGTGATTCAGAAATTCTACATATTTAACTGTCACTCAAAAGGGCTAAATAAAACTTGCATATTAAAAGGTTATGTTTCCAAAACTTTACTATTATGGGGGACCGCTGGGGGGGGGTTAATGTGTGTCCTCTCACCAACTTTATTTTTTTTAATCTATTGTTAATCCTCACCCAAGGATATTTTTCCATTGGTTTTTAGGGAGAGTATAAGAGAGAGGGAAAGACAGAGAGAAACATCGATGTAAGAGAAACCCATCAATTGCTTGGCTCCTGCACGAATCCCAACCAGGGCCCAGGCCAGGGAGGAGCCTGCAACCGAGGTCCGTGCCCTTGACCGGAATCCAACCCGGGGCCCTTTGGTCCACAGGTTGACGCTCTATCCACTGAGACAAACTGGCTAGGGCCTAACTCACCAGCTTTATAATAAGTATCATAAATGTGAGCATATAAAACAAATTCACCTGTGTTACACACACACGCACAATATGTAGGATGTCAAAATACAGTTGGCCCCTGGATTCCTTCTACATAAGGAACTGTCTTCCCTTTTTTTTTTTGCAAGCACTGCCCCATCTTGTTTATATTTATTTGTTTTATTGACTAGCTCCTCTTGTCCCCAGAGCTCATTAGTCATGTAGCTGCCATTTGTCCCTGAAGATTCACTCCCCCAAACACACTTCTTCACTCGTCTTTCTGTCCAAGAGCAGCCCTGGGCGCATGGAACCCAATGGCCTCCCTTGCCCTTCAGCTTTCTGTTGGGTAGGCCAATGGCAGCTCTACCTGGGGACAAGGAGGGTCATGTGTCCCTGCTTCTCTCCCTCTGAGTCACCAGGCCTAGCTGGGTCCCTCGGCATCGGGAGGCCACTGCTGGTCTCCTGGGACCCCTGTTCTCACAAGACTCCCTTAAGCCCTAGTGACCATTCTCCCCTTCAGGCTGGTTGAAGCAACAGGTCACCTTCCACTAACTGGGTTCTGAACTGTGTTTCTGATGGTTCCTCCCCACCCTCCCACACCTCTGTAAGCAGGCCTCTCTGGAATTCTCTTAATTTGGGTGAAGAGAATCTGGAATTCTCTTAACAGGCCATCTGCTTCCTGCTGGACTGGACCCCCGACTCCTGGTCCCCTTCCCACAGGGAAGCCATCCCTGGGCGTGTGTCCTGGCACAACGGTGTTGTTTATACGCATGGACTTGAACTTTCTCCTAAACGTAATTGAGTTATATCTTTCATTCTGCTTCTTTCCTCTCTCGCTAATTGCAATGTTTTTTAACGTGCATCCCTGTTGCTATGGCTACGGCTAACCTGGTGCCTCTATCTGCTGCTTCCTACTCCGCTCTGTGTGCCCTCCACCTCCACTTACACAGCCTCCAAAAAAACAGGCCCCGGGGGGGTGGGGGGGGGCGTGTCCGGCTTCCCGGCACAACCAGTGCAGCAATGAGGAGTCCTGTCTGTGCCCCTTGGGGAGCTGGGTGGGGATTTCTCTGGGCGGCATCGAGCGGGGCAGCATTGCAGAGTCGCTCAGTGTAGATCTACTCAATTCGACTCAATGAAGAGAAGCACAGAACATGGGCTGTGCCCTCGGGAACATCCACACCATCTGCCCTCCTGGCGGCAGGGCCCAGGGGTGTCTGCCCCCCAACCCCCACTCTCACTTGGCGTTCTCCAGCTTCCTCATTCTGCCAATCCACTAGGTAGAAAGTGGTGTTTGGTTCTGTCCTTTCTCTTTCTTGGATTGTTCACAAGTTTAAGCATCTTCTCAGAAGCACTGGTTCCCTCGCCCATAAATCAGCTGTTGGCATGCTTTGACTATTTTTCTATCTGGATCCCTAATTTTTTTATTTTTATTTTTTTTATGCACAAGTTTGCACCCAAACAGGTTGCAGGACACCCACTGGTCAGAAGCAGGGCAGGTGTTTCAGGCTGGGGGAATCCACAAGGACCTTACATCTGCCTACACAAGAGCACAGATCCCACAGGGGTGCCCTCCCTAACTTCCAAGGACCCCAGGGTGATTAGCATGTGAACAGGGTCCTAATTAGAGAAGAGCCCCAAAGAGAAGGGAGAGAGAGTCTCTCCTGGGGTCCCTGGGCCTGCTCCCCACCCCTCTCCCACCCATTTGTCTCCAGTGATTAGCACATGAATGAGGCACTGATTACCAAGCCAAGCTATTGTGTGGCCTTTCAATGGTGTGGCTCCCCGCGGGGACCTATTAGTAATTAAGCCTTGAATAAATGTTTGGCAAATGGGGTCTCCCCTGATGAATAGAAAAGGCTTGGGGAGTAGAGAAACCCTCAATGCTGGGATCATCCAGGCCTGCACTGTGGGCTTTCACCGCCACATAATTGTATGTTTGTCTACTTCAAGGCTGCCCGGGCCCCAGTTGGCAATAACAACCCGTGACAAAGGCAGGTCTGCTGGCTGAGTTGTGTCCTTTCCTGAAAGAAGTGGGCATATTTTCTGCATCGTTTGTCTTGGATGGTGCCAGGCCAGTGCTCCCACAGGGGCGTTCCAGCCTCATGGGAGCGCATCTCTTTCCAGGGCACCCTGGAGTCATGTCCAAGTTTCTCACAGGGTGTGGTCTGGCCAGCAATTCTCTCGGGGTGATTTATCTCAGCCCCTAGCAGGGTTCTCAGCCTTGTCAACTATTGACATTCGGGGCCTGAAAGTTCCTCACTGTGCGGGAGTGGGGAGGGTGCGGGAGGGGGGAGGGTGCGGGAGGGGGGTGTCCTGTGCATTGGAGACTGTTAAACAGCATCAATGACGCCCACCCACTAGATGCCAATAGTGAGAGAACAGAAATGTCACTGGACGTCGCTAAATGACTCTGCGGCGGAGAATGATGCTTCTACTGGAAACGGTTTCCAAGTGATTTCAACAACGATACTGAACATGATTGGAAAAAAAAAATATCTGATCAACAAATTTGAAAGTGATGAAAGGGAAGTTTGTTTATGAAACAAACGTAACCATTTTTTAAAGATATATTTTTATTGATTTCAGAGAGTAAGAGAGAGAGAGAAACATCCATGATGAGAGAGAACCATTGGTAGGCT